TGGCTGGGGCTGGCAAGCTCTGCACTGTCACCGGAGGCTGTGAGGGGAGGCAGGAAGGTCAACAGCAGCACGGCCACCCAGCCCCGGGGCCAGACAGGCCGTGGTGGTGCCCACAGCCCTCCGGGAGCCAAGTCCACCCTACGCCCCCCGCTCCCAGGCCTAGCCTGGCCCCTGGCCCCAGCGCAGGGACACCCGGGTGCTTTGCCTCTTACCAGTGCCCAGGCCAGCGCAGCAGCCGCACTGCCAGGTGCTGGCGCCCTTCCTCACGTAGGAGCAGACTCGGTGGATGCCTTTGGCAGCACAGGAGCTGCACAGTAGCAGTTGCCAGGACCTGGGGAAGCAAAGGGGTTGCGGGCTGTGTGAGGACAAAGTGACGCAAGCAAGGGAATGCCCGGCAGAACCCTTCCTCTTAGTCCTTCCTCGCCAAGCACGTGGGGAGACAGAGATCCCGTGCAGAGCCCTAGGTTGCTGCTTGGGCAACTCACCCCTCTTCCTCTGCCTGCTCCCTGCCTCCCAGACAAAGGCACTTGCGGGCATTGCAGCGGGTGGGCCTCTGATAGACCAGCCTAAAGGCTGGGGCGCTCTCCTGTGACGGTTGCCTGCTGGAGAAGGAAGGGAAAGTGTTGTGGCCCTGCTGTCCCAGATGCAGGCCGATGCAGGCCATCCCCGCCCTACTGCCCCCACCCCGTCTCCAGCCCCTCCGTCAAGCAGAGCACAGGAGTCGGGGGACAGCAGAAGGCCAGGCCTGCCAGGGCAGTCCCTGGCCTGGCACCACGCTTGCACCTGACATCTTGTGAGGTGGGGAGAGAAGAACCAACCTCTTGGAGACCCGAATCCCCATGCTGAGCATTTCCATCACAAACTTATCTTTGTTTTGGCAACGCAAGCAGCGGAAGCAGGCACCAGCGTGGATTGCCTGCTTCTGAATGCAGCTCCGGTGGAACCAGGCGCGTTGGCACGCGGGGCACACCATGGTGTGGTAGGACTTCTTGTCCTCCACGAGGCCCAGGCAGATGATGCAGGTGCTGTTGTGCTCCGGAGTGGCCTGCACTGCCTGCTCTGGGCGGTGCTGCCAGCAGAAGGACCTGGGGGGAAGATGGAAGGGGTGGGCGATGTGAGGTGAGAAGTGCTGAGCCCTTCCTGGCAATGGCGATGGCGAAGAGGGCAGAGCAGCTGTGAAGGAGCTGCAGACCCTGTCTGGGCTCGGGCTCTGGCTGCGGCAGGCTGCTGGGAAGTGTCGCGGGGGGTTCCCCACTTGCTGGCAGGAGGGGGCGTGAAGACGAGGAGGACAGCCCGCAGATGGAGGCTTCTGCCTGTGCCGGAGCCGCTGCGGAGCTTCTGGGAGCAGGCGTTTGTCCCAGAGCTGGTGGAAGGGCTGGGATTTGTTTCTTGGGGTCCAGGAGGAGCTCCCACAAACCTCTCCTGGTGCAACCCTCCCTGCTCCGGCCAGGTCCTCACCTTCTGGGCTGCCTCTTGGATTGCGCGCCTGGTGTCCTCAGTGAGAAAGCCGTTCCTGCTCTCTTGCAGAGAAAGCCCGCTGGCAAGGAACTGCAGAGCAGAGAAGGCCGGGAGCTCGTTAGGTCAGCAAGGAAGGGACCCGTCGCTGGCAGAAAGCTGGAGGGAGCCCCGGGAGAACTCACCAGGCAATACGTGTGGGCACAGAGCCCTTTCTTCGCCTTTTTGCAGCCACAGATGTCCGGGTCAGCCTCTGCCCGGCCACACAGCATGCATGCTGGAGGGGGGAGAGCAAACGCCGCTGGGAATGAGCACGTCTGCGGGGCTGGGGGAAGGGTCCCTGCGGGATGGCCCCCCAGGCCCTGCTCTGTCCCTGCCTAGCTGGCTGGAGGGCAGGGCTGGGGCCTCTGCAGAAGGCGGCAGGGTGGCAGGCACGGGTGTCCCAGCAGGTGCCCACAGCCCAGCCTGGGCCCCGCTCGCGAGGAAAGGAGGGCCCCTGCCCCAGGGCCGCCTGGGAGCTCCTGCCCGCGCCCTGGCCGCACGCAAGCTCCCCCGACAACCCCTCTGCCAGCCATGGGGAGCTGTGGGGAGGGATACTTGGTTCTCACCTTGCTCCCTCGAGTCGGGGTCCTGCTGCTTCTTTGTGAACATGGTGCACGTTGAGGGCAAGCGCTTGGAGAGCCTCTGCCCCAGCAGGGCTGGGGTTTCTCCTCCGGACGCTCCTCTGCCAACCCTGAGGGAGCAGTGGAACGCCGTGAGCTTGCCACACAGGCCCCGGAGCCCCGAGCTGCGAGGCTCCCCTCCTCCCTCGGCAGCCCCGGGCAAGCCCCTTCCTCCCCTGCCCTCTCCTCCTCACCTCACCAGGTCGCACTGACGCACAGCTCTTGCCCAGCAGCCCTTCAGCCAGGCCTTGGCGATGGGTCACAGTTGCTGCTGTGACATCACCACCACCCGTCTGCGTGTGCCCCCAGTATGGGCAAGGGCGCCTTCGGCTACCTGCCACCCCATGTGACCCGCACCCGAGTCAGGGGTGCGGCTGCTCTGTGCACCCGTGCGGGGCTGTGGGGCTGGCACAGCTCGCCCAGAGAGGCTGTGGAGTCTCCAGCCCTGGAGAGAGGCCCAACCCGGCTGGAGAAGGGCCTGGGCAGCTCCAGGGGAGCCTGCCTGAGCAGGCGCTTGGACCAGATGGTCTCCAGAGGTGCCCTCCAACCTCAGCCATCCTGGCATTCTGCAAAAGGCAAGGCGGCCTTGCCTGCGTTGACAGGGAGCTTGTCGGTCGCAGGCACGCCTCAAGCGGCAAGCAGGGAAGCGGGAACGGGGCCAACTGCATGGGGGTGTGGCCAGCACGACGAGGGGGGACTAGGAGGTACCGAGCAAGGGGGTGGGGACCTTGAAAAGTTTGGGGGTTGGGCACATTGCAAGTGTGTGACAGGGGTGGCAGCGAGCACGGAGATGGGGACCTCACCAAGCGTGGAGCTGGCGACAGCGCTGAGCATGTGTACCGCTTTGGGATGGGAGAGAGTTAACTTTCCTCATAGTAGCTTGTATGGTGCCATGTTTCGGGTTTGTGACCAAAAGAGTTTCGGTAACACACCGGTCGTTTAGCTATGGCCGAGCAGTGCGTGCACAGTGTTTCCCCAAAATTGGCAGCAACCGCCCAGGCACAGCCCCCCAAACTGGGGAGCAACCTCCAAACCCACAAACAACCCCAAGAAAATGGAGGAGGAGGAAACGGGACACAAGAGGAGCAGTAGGAGGGAAACGACAAGGAAGAGAAGGGGAAGGAGGAAACATGAGACAACAGGAAGCATCAGGAGGCAGAAGAAAGGGAAGAGGAAAGGGAGGAGGAGAAAGAAGAGAAGGAGGAATTAGAGGAGGAGGAGGAGGAGGAGTCAAGAAGAGGTAAAAAGAGGCAAAAAGAGGAGGAGGAGGGAAGAGGAAGCAATAAAACGCAACATGTGGCAAGAGGAGGAGGAGGAGGAAGAGGAGACCACATGTGAGAAGGAGGAGGAAATAGGAGGAGGCAACAGGAGGCATCAGGAGGATAAAAGAGGATGAAGAAGAGGAGGCAACAGGCGGCAATGAGAGGAAACATGAGGAAGGGAAGGAAGAGGAAGCAGGAGGCAACCGGTGCCAAAAGGAAGAGGAGGAAAATGAAGAAAAAGAGGAGGAGGAGGAGGAGGCGGCGGCAGCAGAGGAGGTAACAAGTAACAAGGTAGAAAAAGGAGGAGGAAGAGGAGAAGGAAACAGGAAGCAACACAAGGCAAGAGGAGTAGGAGGAAACAGGAGAAAACAATCAGGAGGCCACAGGAGGCAACATGAAGAGAAAGGTAAGGAGTGGAGAAAGAGGAGGAGGAGGCAGCAGAAGGCAACAGGGGGAGAAGGAGGCAAAACTAGGAGGAGGAGAAGGCAAGAGGAGGCGACAGGAGGATGCGGAAGAAGAGGTAACAATAGGCAAAAGGAGGAGGATGATGAGGAGGAGGTGTTTGCAACAGGAGGCAACAAGAGGCAAAAGGAGGAGGATGAGGGGGAGGCAACAGGACGAAAAAGGAGGAGGAGGGGTAGGAGTAGGAGGAAGAGGAGGAGGAAGAAGAGGAAGAGGACGAGGAAGAAGAGGAGGAGGAGGAAAAAGCAGGAGGAAGAGGACCAGGGAACAGGAGGGAAGAGGAGGAGAAGGTAACAGGAGGCAAAAGAATGCAACAGGAGGAGAAAGAGTCAACAAGAGGCAACAGGAGGCAAAAGGACGGGGAGAACGAGTAGCCAACACGAGGCAAACGGAATCAACAGGAGGAAGAGGAGGAGGAAGAAGAAAGATAAGTCAACAGGAAGGGGTACCCATTAGAAGGGGTAGAAGGCAACAGGAAGAAACACAAAGCTACTAAAGAAGGGGAAATCAACAGGAGGCAACAGGAGGGGGAGGTAACAGGAGGAGGAGGCAAGAGGAGGCAACAGGAAGCAAGAGGAGGAGGAGGAAGAAGAGGAGGCAGCAGGATTCAACAGGAGGGAACAGGAGGAGGAGGAAGAGGCGGAGGCAACAGGAGGCAGCAAGAGGCAAGAGGTAGAGGAGGAAGGGAAGGAAGGGGAGGAGGAGGAGCAAACAGCCCCCTATTCCCCGTACCTGTCTGCATGCTGCAGCCTCCTCGTTTCCCTGAAGTCCTCCCAGCCTCACAGGGACGTGGCATCTGTCCAGTCCACACGCCACGAGGAGGGAGTTTTGACCATGAAGGAACAGCAAAGAACTGCATCCGCAGAAGCGAAGGGGCAGCCGCTCTATTGGGTCTGCGTGGCAAGGTTTTGGTAGCCGGGGGACTACAGGGCTGGCTTCAGTGAGAAGCTGCCAGAAGCTTCCCCTGTCTCTGACTGAGCCAATGCCAGCTGGCTCCAAAAGGGACCGGCTGCTGGCCAAGGCCGAGCCCATCAGCGATGGTGGTAGCACCTCTAAGATAGCATATTGAAGAAAAGGGAAAAACAGGAAAAACAAAAGTGCATTTGCAGCCGAAGAGAGGAGTGAGAATATGCGAGAGCAACCACTCCGCAGACCCCCAGGTCAGTGCAGCAGGAGGGGAGAAGGAGCTCCAGGCGCCGGAGCAGAGATTCCCCTGCAGCCCCTGGTGCAGCCCACGGTGGGGCAGGCTATCCCCCTGCAGCCCAGAGAGGCCCACGGGGGAGCAGATCTCCCCCTGCAGCCCGGGGAGGACCCCACAGCGGAGAAAGGGGGGGTGCTCGAAGGAGGCTGTGACCCCATGGGAAGCCCGCGCTGAAGCAGGCTCCTGGCAGGACCTGCGGCCCACTGGGAAGAGGAGCCCAGGCTGGAGCGGGTCTGCTGGACGGGCTGGTGACTCCACAGGGGACCCATGCTGGATCCTGAGGGACGGGACCCCGTGGGAGGGATGGACCCACGCTGGAGCAGTGCGTGAAGAACTGCAGGCTGTGGGAAGGACCGACGCCGGAGCAGTTCATGGAGGCCTGTCTGCTGTGGGAGGAACCCCATGCTGGAGCAGAGGAAGAGTGTGAGGAGCTCTCCCCCTGGGGAGGAAGGAGCGGAAGGGACAGCGTGTGATGAACTGACCCCAACCCCCATTCCCCAAACCCCAGCACCGCAAAGGGGGGAGGAGGCAGAGAAAAAAGTCAGGGGTAAAGCTAAGCCCGGGACGAAGAGAGAGGTGCGGGGAAGGTGTGTTAAGATTCAGTTTTTATTTCTTTCTCCTGCTCTGATCTGGTTGGTAATAAATTAAAATTAATCTCCCCAAGTCAAGTCTGTTTTGCCTGTGCCGGTAATTGGTGAGTGAACCCTCCCTGTCTTTATCTCGCCCCGCAAGCTGTTTGTTCTGTTTTCTCTCCCCCTGTCCAGATGAGGAGGGGGAGTGATAGAGCAGCTTCGTTTGGCACCTGGCGTCCAGCCAGGGTCAACCCATCACAGCTGCGCCTCACCTTTGGAGCTACCCAAAGCTGCCCTGAGCCCCAGGAGCCGCTGGCACCCTGGCATTTGCTTGGTCCTTAGGCCCTGTGGGACCTGCTGCTGCTGGGGAGCCCCGGGGACAGATGCGAAGGACAGCGGTCAGCCCCCGCGGGGAGAGTGACGGGGCTCCGTCCTTCCTTCTGGCTGCAGGAGGACGCCCTGGGCCTCACCAGGACAGGGCATCTCTCCTCCTCACCGCTCAGGGAAGGCGAAGCCTGAGGAAGACCCTGGGTGCTGGCTCAGCATGGGCGCGGTGGCC